TGGCCCTGTGACATCTTGCGTTGTCATCCTGGAAGATGAAACGGCGGCCATGACGTCGTGCGAACGGCACAACATGGACTGCCAAGATGTTGTCCCGGTAGTACTGGCCTGTAACACGCCCTGCAACAACATGTAAAGCCGTTCTTCCAGCAACAGTGATGCCTCCCCACACCATAACAGAACCACCCCCAAATCGATCATGTCTGATGACGTTAACGTCTTGGAAGCGCTCGTTTCGACGACGCCACACCCTCCTACGTCTGTCCATAAAATCAACAGTGAACCTTGACTCATCTGAAAACATCACATTGCTCCAGCGTCGATTATCCCAGTGTTGACGATCCCTACACCAACGACGTCTTGCCTGAATGTGATGATCTCTCAAACAAGGGATCACGCGAGGACGTCGGGCGCGAAGGTGACCCCTATGCAGTCGATTCCGAATCGTCTGGCCACTCACTCTCACACCAGTGTCTGTTTGAAGACGAGCGCTGATCTGATTTGCTGTGATGACACGATTTCTCAAGGCCAAGGTACGGATAAATCGATCCTGGGCTTGAGTTGTCGCCCTTGGTCGACCTGAGCGTGGTCTGTCCTGTACAGATTGTGTATCACGGTATCTGGACCATAGCCTGCTTATGACAGACTGAGAAACATTCATCGTCCGCGCCACAACCGCCTGTGTTGTACCGATCTGTAGCATGCCAAGGGCACGTAACCTTTCATTTTGGGTAAGCCGACGCATATCAAAATTTGTTTTCTGGTCACTAAAACAATTAAACTGATGTTTCCACCCTGGAATTCAATGCCACAATGACTGTAACATTCAAAGTCAGAGTCGTGCAAATCTTGGGTTGGACCCCCATGATGATCCCAAGCATCACATGCATTCCATGCGGTAGCTATTGGTGCGTTTGGGCGTCACATGTAACTGGAAATGTTTCTTCTGTTAGGTGACTTTTTTTCGTAGTCATTTACATATTTTAGTATTATGCCCCCAAAATCAAATATCCCCTACTTTTTTTGAATAGTATATTATAGAATTATTGATATTTACTTACTCTTCATAGAAGCCCAGTCTTCTCAGCTTACGTTCATAATTTTTCCTCCTTTAAAAATTCAAAATTGTATTAAAAGTGCAGAACATTCCTAAGCCATAATTAAATCTTTCTTTTCTGTAGGTTACTAAGGTGTGCATGATTATTAACAAATCATTTAAATTTAAAGTGGAATGCATTCTTCACATAAACTTTTATTTAAACATATCTGTTCAAATTCTATTTCTGATTAAAATAAATGTAAGTAAAAAGGACTTACCTTGTTTGATCCATTGTCAGATTTTAGTAATCACCTTTTAGACTTTTTTACTTATTTTTTTATATACCGGTAATGTTCAATTTAAATTTCTCAGGACATTTTTCAAAGAATAAATAGAAAAGGATTTGTCAAAAGATTGCTGCTTCTTATTCATTATATATATATGTAGATAATTTCCTTCAGCTTCAATTCCAGTATTTCTCCCAAAATAGTAAAATAGTTTATGAGTTCACACTTCACTCTAGTAACTAGGTAGGGTTGGTTGATAAACATCGCAAACCAAAAGTCTGAATACATTTAGAACGAAGAACCACTCGAAGTTGCTATGATCCAGTTCTTTAAATTCGGCCATTCTCATTTACTTTAAATAAAACAGTCAATATGAAGTTGTGAATGGCACAAAGCAAATACTTTTAGTACTGGAGGGAGGACAAAAGAATGGCCTTGCATGAATATTGATTTAGCTTATTTCAATTGATTGACTTCATATTTGAAAACAAAAAGTTCTGTTCTTTCGAAATAAATTGTGTTAGTGAAAAGAGTTTACAATGATTGTACAGTGATAAGTTAGCTTTTCTGTCCGAAATTTTAGAAAGTCCCTAATTTTTTAAACATACATTATGCAAAAGATAAATCTGATTGTTGCAAATCTTTATTTAGGCTTCAGATGTCATAGAAATTATAAATTAGATCTTTATTTACACAACAAGCACAAAATCAACTCTGTAGACCCACGGATGGCTTGGATTTAAACAGGATTTCATTGGTTGATTAAATTTTTAAATTTCGTCGTAAACAGAGATTAACCGTTACGTTGACGTCATACTCCCGGAAATTTTAGATCGAGGCTAAATGATAGAGTGTACGAAGCGAGGCCGCTGTTGAGCGAGGCCGCATGTCAGTCAATTTGATTACAAGTTCAATATATACGGCCTTGATATTATGTTTATTTGTGGTTAAAATGAGAGTTTGGATGTCGGTATTATAGGCTCTTTTGTCATTTGCATTTACAGAAAAATTATGGAAATTGATAAACATCGCAGCTAACATCACCCCAGTTGAATTGCAGCCCCATTGGATCACTGTTTCCTATTTGTCTGCTTCGGGAGTTGTTTGCTACCAGTTACAGTACAAGAGTACAGGCAGGCTAATAGGAAGTCGGCTATAATTATGCCTCATTGATTTGGTCCATTCCTTTCAAACTTTCTCTTCTTATATATTAAAAGTCTTATTTTTAATTTGTAGTAAAAATAAATGTGATACGAATTGAATTGCAACCCTGTCTCAAACCGAATAGGCTAACGGTACCACAGCCATTGAAAACGTTACTTGATAATCGAGATAATATAGGTGGAGTTAACGCCTGTCATTCAAACGATCGGCCATTCTCGGAGACGGCGAAGAGACAGTTGACTCCTATTTCTAGTCAAAAATTAGAATGGTGATAACTTTGTTCAGAATAAAGTAATTTGACTGAAATTTTCAATATATTCTTCTTTTATCATCTATTTTTGAAATGTTATAGCAAGAATGGCCAACTCTCTATTAAAATCTCCCATAATGTATCTTTAAGGAAAGATAATTGAAAAGGAAAATGGTGTGTAACACCCTACTGTTCTGCAATTACCTGGCTAGTGAAGACTCACACATGCTGTGTTCAATGAGAGAAATTTTGCCCAAACAGCCAATCTGATTAAAATACAGATCTATATTTCGTTTCTTTTTTTTTTTTATACTTTCGATGGCCTACACTACATGAAGATCTGACAAGTTGTACTCGAAGATCGTGTTAGGGGTCATACAAGCGGCTTTTGACCCTATGACATCAGACATTGATTAATCAATCAGCGATGACGTTTCTAGTGGTTTACCCACAGTTCTGTGCATGGCACTCCAAGAAGTCGCCGTAACAGACAATTTCATTGGCTTATCCCTCATTTCAACCAAAACGCCAGTAATATGACAACTCTTCCAGATCCTAGTGTAGTGAAGACAAGTAAAATAAAAGTTTAAACTATAAAAAACGAAACGAAATAGGATCTCTGTTTTAATCAGATCGCTCAAACAGCTACATTTCTGCCAAGGTACTTTTCGTAGAATTCCAAATGTCAAGTGTACTTTGACGTGGATGCCAACCTGTACATGGGGTATTGTTTATTGTCATGTCTGAAAGACTGGACATTGAATGGGGAAGGAAAAAGATTGAAATGATGTTGTTCCCTCAACTAGAATTGGATCTTTGTCTGCTCAAACCTCTAAAAGGTTTTTTTCTCCGGGTCCTCTGGTTTCCTCCCACTGCTATAGACCCCTACGCGCAAGCAAATTATGGAAATAAAATTGAACCATGTGTTAGTCCCAAAATGACCTAGTTTGTGTCGAGTGGACGTTAAACCCCATTTCTCTCTCTCTCTCTCTCTCTGAAAAGGTTGTGATGTAATACTTGGAATGATTTGTTATGATCAAGAGAACAATTAAATAACTGAATCAAATTGTCTAATAAATAAAGCCAACAATGAATTAACAGATTAATTATTATACAGCGTCAAAGAGCCCTGGATCTTCTGGTTAGCAAGCTAGCGCCTTCCTCACTGAGTCACCAGTAAATTATCAGCTATTAGGTTTATTTCATGAAAATTAAACAAAACTCAACATACAAACATCCTAATTCCTATATTGTATAAAGTAATATTGTATATTAGTTCTATTACAGTGGTACAAACATCCTAATTCCTATATTGTATAAAGTAATATTGTATATTAGTTCTATTACTGTGGTACAAACATCCTATATTGTATAAAGTTATTTTGTGTATTAGTTCTATTACTGTGGTACAAACATCCTATATTATTATTGTATAAAGTAATAATGTATATTAGTTCTATTACATATACTGTGGTACAAAAATTCTATTTTGTATAAAGTAATATTGTATGCTGTTAGTTCTATTACTGTGGTATGTGTGTTTCATTATGAACTATAAACCATGGAGTGATAGATCAGTCTTTACAAATACCCTTTTTATGTTTAATTCATGTTCTTAAAGCCCTGTACCTTTTATGTTCCATTGATGTTCTCAAAGCCCTATGGCCTATACCTTTCTTACTTAGGCCATGAAAAAATTGTATTTGTTAATAATCTGTTGCATTTAGTAACTAGATAGTTCACGACATTTAAGGCTATCTCTCTTTTCTTATACAAATTAATACAAAGGGTGTTATTTTTCTTGGAGTGGCCTTATGTGAATGAGAGTTCTAAAAAGGTTAAACCATTTAGTCAATCGTGGAGCTTAATGCTTGTATATTTATACCTCACAACTCCATACAATACAATCATATCAATATAACACATAATATATAAATGATCACTGAGTGTGATCTCTTAAATAGGAATATCTCATGTCTTTATTCATTCACTTAACCTCTCTTATTGTCCATTATCATATTCTTTTATATTCTCTCTCTCCATACCATTCATCACCAAGAGAAACTATTGTTAATAAATGCGTAGAAAAAAAAATATATAAAAAGTAAAACTATAAAATTAAGAATTTATTTGTGGGATTAAGTTAATTGATTAAAAAAATATGAGTGGCGTTTATCTGATTTGTTGAATTTGTTTGATTTTTTTGCATTGAATTGAGAAATTGAATGAGTTTTCTGTTGGCCACATCCGGTACAAAATAGTTTCACTATGGGTTACTATGGAACATAATGTGTATACATTCACCCTGTTATTGTTCAAATATTGTCATATTCAAAGGATTTAAACTCAATTTAAAGACTTTTATTGTGGAAAAAGTGAGATTATAAACTTGTTTTACCACACTTTTAAAAACGTGGGGATATTTCAAAATGTGAAAGTTCAGTAAACTGGTTAAAGTGTGCATGTACTATTTCAGGGAAGTACATATGGTATATTTCTGTAACGGATTCTATTATTCAATAATTTAAGGCTACAATGAGGAAAAGGGACATTTTTAGAATTTAATTGAGCAATTTGAGGATATCTGAGGATATAATTATTATATTATATATAATCCTCCAATACTAGTTGAAAGTATTGATGTAAGTTATATTAAAAGGGACTATGGAACTTTGAAGAATTTTTTAAATATATTAGTAAAAGAACTTAAATAAAATGGAGCAGCGGAGACAAGCCACGTTGTTGAATTACGCTCTAGCGCTTGAAGACAGTGTTATCTTGGATAAAATATGGCTTCAGTTACAGGATGTTTTCAGTGAAAATGAGAAAAGGGAAATTCTGGTAAGTAACATGAACAATCTGCACAGAGTGAACTATCTACTGTATTTTGAGAATAGATCTCTGGCATATATGGCGGCCTTACTGAACAATTAATGTACTGTTTTGTAATGCTGTCCTACCTACTCCAGTTCTGTTATACACACAAAGACTAATTAAACCTTTCAATTTTTTTAAATGAAAGCAGAATATAGCACTTCTCAAAATTCACAAAATATACTTAGTGTTTTTGACTAAAATCGTTGATTTAGGACTTGGCATCTGTTCTCAAGCGGAGCTATTTGTAGACAGACAGCGTAAGTTTAGTACATACAATGAATGACAATTTTAGATTGTCTGCCACTAGGTGTATGGAGCCTTGATGGCTCAGTGTCTAAGGTGGTGGCTCACTAACCAAGAGCCTGTCCAACCTCGTGGGTTTTCTCCGGGTCCTCCAGTTTCTGCCAACTGCTAAAGACCTCTACTCGCAAGCTAATTTTTGAAGTAAAATTCAACCATGTGTTAGTCCTGAAATGACCTAGTTTGTGTCGAGTGGACTTTAAACCCCATTTCCTTCTCTATCTAGTAACCAGGAGATCCAGGGTTTAATCCCAGAATTTGCCATGAAAGTTCCCTGGCGATTTTCTGCGCCGTTTCATTATGTAAGTGAATTGCAGACACAGGTGATGGCAAGGAATAGTGTGTAGTCATTTGGATGGTACTAAAAACCAAGGTACTGCATGTACACATTACCATGCATTTAAAAGAACCTTTAACAACAGTTGAAATTTATCTGAGCAAAATTTCCCTAATAGCACAATGTATGGTGTTTGCAAACTCCATATCTTTTCAACTATTGGAATAAATGATTGTGTGGTTTGTTTTTTTACTCAGAATACGGACATATTCCTCAATGATTTTTAATTTCTTCTTGTAGAATGCCGGTGGAAACAAAAGAAAGATGAGAGTTATGTTAGAAATTTTACCACAGAAAGATGATAGTGCCTTTCATGTTCTGGTAGCTGCTCTAAAACCAGATTATCGATGGCTGTCGTTTAGAATAGAACAAGGTGTACATGAAGAGGAAGACAGATTAACTCGAGCTGGTAAAGGTATGTCGATTCTTCTGTACGCCTAGCGAGGGATCTGCCGAGGGTCTTCCTCTTTGTCTGGGAGTAGTCAAGGAGTCCAGCCCCGTGTGTTTTCTCCAGGTCCATCTGGTTTTCTCCCACTACTAAAGAACCCTATGATCAAGGAGAATTGTAGAAATAAAATTGAACCACATGTTAGTACCGAAATGACCTAGTTGGTGTCAAGTGGAAGTTAAACCCCATTTGTCTCTCTCTCTCATTTATGACTGACTTGTCCTGCAAGTATCCTGCGAGAAATTTGTTTGTGATCTCACCGGAAATGGAAGGGGACTTAAAGCTTGGAATAAACTTCTTGGATTATGGCCCCTGATTGTATGCAAAATCACATTTTTAGCTCGTGGATCCTCTAGAGGACATAATTTTTTTCCGATTTTAAAACCTGTGTAAATATATCACCGTTCGTTCCACCATGATGAAGGTTGAGTTCAAATTTCGGGAAAATTGAAACGAAACTGCCCGACAAAATGGCTGCTCCTTGTACGCAAAGAATGTAAAAGAATGTAATACAAAGGTTTTGAACCCTCTAGATGTCACAATTTTTCTGTCCGATTTTTATGAAACTTAAAAGATATCTTTATATCCCAAAGATCTCAGTCCCTTTCGATATTCTCACTTCTTGGATTATGGCCACTCATTGTATGAAGAATCACGTTTTTTTTAGCTTGCTCTCTATCCATCTCTTGCAAAATGTGGGCATATTTTGCCTGGCAACTGCTGGTTAACTATTATAGCGAGTACTGTCAGATCTTTATTTAATCGAGGGGTTCTATAGCAGAATGATTAACGTGTGGCGTTGTATCAAAAGGTCTGTCGTGGAGTCAACTGCCGTGGTTTTGATTCCCCAGTTGTACGTGACAAGGAGTAAGGTCGCCTGTCCAACCTTGTGGGTTTTCTCTGGGTCCTCCGGTTTCATCCCACTGCTAAAGACCCCTATGCGCAAGGAAATTATTGAAATAAAATTGAACTGTATGTTAGTGCCGATATGACCTAGTTTGTGTTTAGTGGACGTTAAACCCCATTTCTCTCTCTTTCTCTTTATCTAATCTTAAAAGGAGAAGACAATCATTGTAAAATTACATGTTTATAAACCAGTATGTGTTATTCCATAAATTACTAATTACTAAATGCCACTCAAAGAAGATACGTTATTTGTTATTTCAGGTGTAAAAAGAAAAGTGACTGTTGCATTGATGTCAACAAGAATCTCTGATCGGCAGAGAGACATGGTGATAGATACTGTATCGGACGTCATCGAGGAGGAATTACGTGACAGAACATTGAGGGTTGATATTCCCGATCACAAAGCAGCTTCGAATCTCAATGAACTGAACATGCGACTGCGTCAGCTCATAAATAAAAAAGTTGATCCCCTGCTGCACGGACCGATGATGAAGACAGATCTGTCTGAAATGGAGAATCAGGTTTTGGCGGATCGCTTAGAACAGATGCTTGAGGAGATGAGGGCACTAGAAGATTGTTATAAAACCATGGAAATAGATAAATTATCGGCAACTCCTAGATCTCTACCCTCTTTGCTTTACCAGAAGATTGAAGAAGTCAAAACCCGAATCGGCATCCTAGAAGATGATCAGGAGCAGTATAGGTTAGAACGGGACGAGATTCTTCGAGAGCGCAATGAAAAGGGGCAGAGTATTTCAGAGTTAGAGAGCTCAAACACCAATCTGGAATTTGAGAATCGGAAGTTACGAGAAGAAGTTATCACTTTAGAGACGAGCGTTCAGGAGTTGAATAAAGATAAACGGAATCTGACGAATGAGCGTCGAAGATTCGAGGATGAGCAGATCCGAATTGCGAATATCGCTGACAAATTGGAAGATGAGTCTATGTTCATTCAGACACGAAATAAACGGTTAGAGGAAATAAACGCAAAATTAACAAAAGATGTCCAACGCTTGACAGCATCCAATATAAAACTCCGCGGTGAAACCAGACGCTCTTCCATTGGTGAATCCGCTCGTTTAAAATCTGACAAAAAACGTTTAATGGATGAAAGAAGTAGATTGCAGACGGAGATCAGGAGACAGGAAAATGAGAAGCGTCAGGTTTTGGTCCGGAACCAGAGATTGGAAGCCGAAAATCAGAATTTGAAAGAACAGAAAAAACGACTTTACGAAGAAAAGAACCGATTCTTAATGGAGAATCAAAACCTCAGAACAGATGCAAAACGAATGGCTATTGGCAGTTTTGAAAAGTATCCCAAGAGTAGAGAATATAGGAGTGGCGCTGTTAACTATACCAAACGTTCAAAGTCTGTGGAAGTGGAGGCGTACGACGCACCAAGAAATTCTCGCGGAGCAAGAAGAGGTAGTGTTAGGAGTACGTCTGTCACCACCAATTCCAGAACCAAACCTCAGACATCAACACCATCAGGTAATCGGAGAATAAACGCTACATCCACAGCCAGGCCAGTCCAATCAGATCGCATGTTTAGATCTTATGGAGAAACGTCAAACGCAACAGTTAAGCCAATATCAGGACAGAAATCCATCAAAGAGCCATCACCTCCAAAAGGAAGCAAGCCCAGTAATAATAATAATAATCCACGTCGAAAATCGGTTACATTTAGAGGATGAAAAAAATAAAAACTTTTATCGCTAAGGTCTGTAATACCCGATCTGATAGTGGTTAGTGTCAAACTTTGCTAATCAGCAGTTGAGAATAGACAGTTTAAAAAATGATGATTAAGTCTTTAGAATTTGGCAGATGAACATTGTATAGCATGCCATGTCTATATAATAGTAAAAAACTATAACACATACTTATATGGAAGAATTTTACTAATTTATTGAGCGATGTGTCAAAGGGTAGGCCCTATACTCTCTATTTATTCTAGTTGAAAACTTCGCTGAAATGAATTAGTAATACACAGTTTAAATAATAAGGATTATAAGTCTTTAGAATTTGGCAGTTGAACGTTGTATAGCATGCAATATAGTATAAAACTATAACCCATACTTAAGGAAGAACTTTACTAATCTATTTAAGCGATGTGTCAAAAAAAAAATTAACCCTGTGTTTCTATTTGAAAACTTTGCCAAAATGAATTAGTAATACACAGTTTAAGTAATAAGGATTAAGTCTTAGAATTTGGCAGTTGAACACTGTATATAGCATGCCACGTATAATAATTAATAGTAAAAAGCTATAACACACCTATGGAAGAACTTTACTTATCTATTTGAGTGATGTGTCGAAGACTATTCTCTCTATGTTTCTTTTTCAAAACTACACAGTTTAAATAATGAAGATTAAGTCTTTAGAATTTGGCAGTTGAACACTGTATAGCATGCCATGTATTATTATATAATAGTAAAAAAGCTATAACACATACCTATGAAAGAACTTTACTAATCTATTTGAGTGATGTGTCAAAGACTATATTCTCTATGTTTCTTTTTCAAAACTTCACTGAAATGAATTATTAATAGTTTAAATAATTAATAAGGATTAAGTCTTTAGAATTTGGCAGTTGAACATTGTATAGCATGCAATATAGTAAAAAAAAACTATAACACATACTTGAAGAACAATTACTGATTTATTTGAGCGACGTGTCAAAGAGTAGGTCCTATTCTCTCCATTTTTCTGTTTCAAAAGTTTGCTGATTAGTAATTATTCTTCCGTATGTATGTATTCATGGTTTGTTGCTCTATCCATGGACTAACTGGCTTTAAAGGATTAAAATGAATTAAGAGTAACCAAAAAGATCATATTCTTTAAGTGGCTAACTCTTTAGCTTGCCACAGATGATAAATAATTTGTTTCGTTGAGTATGTGCTTGTGTTGTTTTGATTCACCACTTGTACATGACAAGGACTAGGGTCGTCTGTCCAATCTTGTGGTTTTCTCTGGGTCCTCCTGTTTCCTCCCACTGCTAAAGTAAATAAAAGTAAATGGATTACTAAGAATACAATATTAGAAGGGTTTATATTTTCTGAGAATTCTAGGTTAGGAAAAAGAAAGGAATGAAAAATTTGTAGTCTGTATGCATACAAGATCAGTTTTTCCCTAACTGTATTGTTTTTTGTCCCCCGCCTTTCGAAGAAAGCAGGGGACTATTAAAATGGGTTCGTCCGTCTGTCTGTCCGTCTGTCTGTCTGTCCGTCACACTTTTTGGGACACAATAACTCTCTTCCTAATTGAGCTAGAATGTTCAAACTTGGTGTATGTGTTTATTAGGTCAATGCCTTGATGGAGTTCGAAGATGAGCATTTTCCGCTTAGGGTAAGCAGAGATAAGCAATTTGATTGGTTGATGCTTTGGGACACGATAACTCTCTTCCTAATTGGGCTAGAATGTTCAAACTTGGTGTATGTGTTGATTAGGTCAATGCCTTGATGGAGTTCGAAGATGAGCATTTTCCGCTTAGGGTAAGCAGAGATAAGCAATTTGATTGGTTGATGCTTTGGGACACGATAACTTTTAATTGAGCTAGAATGTTCAAACTTGGTGTATGTGTTTATTAGGTCAATGCCTTGATGGAGTTCGAAGATGAGCATTTTCCGCTTAGGGTAAGCAGAGATAAGCAATTTGATTGGTTGATACTTTGAGGCACGATAACTCTCTTCCTAATTGAGCTAGAATGTTCAAACGTGGTGTATGTGTTGATTAGGTCAATGCCTTGATGGAGTTCGAAGATGAGCATTTTCCGCTTAGGGTAAGCAGAGATAAGCAATTTGATTGGTTGATGCTTTGGGACACGATAACTTTAGTTCTAATTAAGTGAGATTGATGAAACTTGGTGTATAGTTTCATTACAGTAATACCTTGACTAAGTTTGATAATGAGCATTTTCTGCTCAGGGTAAGCAGAGCGATACGCAATTTGATTGGTCGAGACTTTGGAAAACAATAACTCTCCTACTTTGATTGTTAGACTATAAGTAAAGATATACTGTTTGATTGTTCAATACTTTGTAAAAGATAATTTGTGATAAATTTATATGTGTCCTCTAATTATTTTCCTATTTCGGCGGGGGACATCAGCCTCACTGTTGGCTTGTTCTTTTTTTAAAGATAATATTTATTTACAATTTATATTATGAAAGTATGTAGATATTCAAATCTGTGATATATTTATATTGTATTTATCTATATTCTGACATGTATGTAATTAAAACATTCTAGATTTCTAGATAATACACTTTAGACTTGATCTTTTTGGTGTGAGTTGAGAGGTTGACTCATGGTCTAACGCATGTGCTTCAGATCAAAAGGTCTGTCATTAAAGATCCCTTCACGCAAAAGACTTATTGAAATAAAAAATTGTATCATATGTTAGTCCCGAAGTGACCTAATTTGTATTGAGTGGCTTTAGACCCAATTTCTCTCTCTCTCTCTCTGGCAGGTGGAATAGAAATATGAAATAGTCAGGAATATGGAAAAGTCAGATGAGGAGGACTCAATGTTCCTGTGATCTAACTTGCAGGGCCAGATTAAGCTCGAGTTCCTGGCTGTAAATGTCATTTGGGCCCTTGATAAACAGTGAAGGGAAGGAGGGGGAGGGGCATGTTCTGGTCATTGTCTGTCACACTCACACAAATGCAATTTCTGTCAGTATATAGATAGATTTATATGGCTCAAAGATATACAACATAAAAATAGAATCAGTCCAATTTGGGGGTCCCTATACAGCCCTCTCCTAGCCCTGCTAACCCATACTTTTAAGCTCATACAATCTATGATGTCATTGTTACAATGCAGTTTTCATGGTTTTCATCAAACACTTGTAAGTGACGAGGAGCCACAGGATTTTCCGGTATGGTTCTCCCTTGTCAGTGGTGCAGACAGAGGGCAAGGAGCAATGCATAGTTGTTCGGATGATGTGCAGGGTCCCATACCCCTATTTTTCACTGATAAATTCTGATATTCCATTGAAATTATATAAAAAAATAATATAATCTTTACAATTAAGATCTATGTAGTAGTATAATACATACTAAATCTCTTTTAGAACATTTGGCACAAGAAGAGAAAATTTATTGAAAATTCACTTTTTTACATTTGCATAGTATAAATAATAATAGTAATAATAGCAGGATTTATATAGCGGACAATTACTAAACATTTAGTTTCTTCTAATGCGCTTTCAAATATTTTCTCTTAGTCACCTAAAACTATTTCAATGGATTTTCAATGCTGACTTGAATTAATCAATACATTTGACTGTTCATTATTTTTCCTTTTTTTTTTGATATAAACAATATTTACTTATAAACTAAGGTAATTGGGGGAACAAGCAAAGCCTATATAAACTCTTCTCTATTGTTTTTCTGCAAGAGTGAGCCAAGTTAAAGTGGGATAATGTTTTATGGAAAGAGTAAGCATACCCTTCCTCATGCAAGACACCCAGCACAACCTGTAGCTATATGGCTAACACTTCCTTTATAAGTCATCAGTTTGGTTTATAGTGCTCACGTTTTTATAAAATAAAGCATTATGTACAGTTGTAAGATCTAAATTTGCCTATTGCAGGTCTTTCTTTAGGCCTTAAATGTTATATAAATTATTAATTAGACATTTATTGAAATAACAAGACCATAGTCAACTCTCGATACTATCGGGTCGCTGCAATGTTAAAGTGCACATAAGATGGGCAAAAAATCTTTTTAATGTGTGTAGCCAGTGGTTACTATATCCACTTTACGGCAAGTTCACGCCAATCTGGTTGAAATTAATTCAGCTATCTTCACTCAAAGTCGTAAAAATAGACCTCCCGTCAAAACGACTTTGCCAATTATCGAAAACACTCTTAAGAGCCATTCCACGAGAAAACCATGCAATATCAGGCAGATGTTCGAAGGTGGGGGTCGGCCGATTAAGTTCATACTCACAGGGTTTGGTCGACCCATCGAGCCTACTCCCTAGCCAAAGTCGCTGATTTCAGTAATCAACCGTTTCCGAGATACAGGCCGACTACGTTTTTCGGCTGATTTTTGTCATTTCTAGGCCAAATTTTAGCTATTTTTGTCGCACTACTACCGCTGTTGCATGACCCTGGCGAACTAGGTTTTGGTTGTTCGTGATAGTCGGGGTCTTACCCTATCACATTATCATGGTCACCCGGTTCAAGTTCATTTTCCATAGGTGTCAGGAGTCTACACAAGATACGTGTCTGGAGATACCTGAAATGTACCCTATCTTCAGATCGCTATAACTCCACTGGAGCAGGGTTTGCGATAAAAATTAAAATCAATTTATTTGCAGCTTGACCAGTTCTAACAACATAAGAAATAAAATCGTCAACTAACTTGCAAAAGTATGAAAACTTATGTCGAAAGTTACCAAAAACTTTAGTTTTGATTGGGATACATAGGTGGATTATTCAGTTACCCAAGCGCCAATATTGTTATTCAAAGTGTCAATATATCAACTCCGGCTCCCCTTCAACCCGCTTTGCCAAAATATTCAGTCTCGGTGTGGTTTGGTATCCAGTTTACAAATCCAAGATGGCGTCTCCCAGTGAATATGGATTTTCGCAAATTATCGATCTAGAATGTCGACCCTGATTATTTAAACATTTTTTTCTATGAAAAATGAGAAATTTCAATTCAAAATTTTGAAAAACAGTCGAGTTTTAGTCTATTTAGTCTTCACCTTCAATCGCGAGGTCATCAGGGATACAATTTGATGTTCACACGTTGCTCTATCGACAAACCATATCTCATTCGAAAATATTGAAAAACAAATGAGTTAGACTTAGAGTTGGGATTTCAAAAATTTTCTTGTCCGACATTTTACCGAAAATAAAGGGGTATAACTCTTATTGTTATTTAAGCAGACGGATTCATACCACAATTAAAAATCACGTGTCAACAAAATATTCAAATTCGCACGTAATAAAAATAGGAACACCTCGCTATTTTTGTACGCCCACATTCTCGTGTGGATGTATTTTGTCGTCGCCCCTGTCCGTCAACAATTTGTTTATGGGCACTCTACAGGTCACAATTTTTATCCAATTTCAACAAAACTTGAAATATAGGTTATGTCCCCAATTCGGCTCCTGTCGATATTGGTATGTATCGGACCGTAACTTCATGGACTATGGCCCCTGAACTTACGAAAAATCACGTTTTTAGCTTGTGGACACTGCACATGGAGGTTACAATTTTTATCCGATTTTGATGAAACTTAAAAGGTACGTTTATAACCAAATGAACTCGGTTCCTTTCGATATTCTCACATATCTGATCTTAACTTCCTGGATTATGGCCCATGATTGTACAAAAAGTCGCGTTTTTAGCTTGTAGCCCCTCTAGAAATCACAATTTTTTTTTTGATTTTTAAAAACGCTAATGATGGCGGAGTTCGAATTTCGTGAAAATCGGATCAAAACTGCCAGACAAAATGGCCGCTCCTCGTACGCAAATAGTGTAAAAGTATGTAATTCCAAGATAATATCTGATTTTCATGAGACTTAAAATAATTATGTTTAGAACACAAAGATCTCGGTCCCTGTCAATATTCGCGCATATCGGACCGTAACTTCGTGGAATATGATCCCCGATTTTAAGAAAAATCTCGTTTTTAGCTTGAAGTTCCTCTTGAGGTCACAATTTTTATCCTATTTTAAAAACTGTTTCAATATATCACCGTTACACCCTAATGACAACTAAGTTCGAATTTCATGAAAATCGGAGCAAAACCGCCGGACAAAATGGCTGTTCCTCATAAGCAAATAGTGTAAAAGTATGTAATTCCAAGATTGTGGACACTCTAGAAACACAATTTTTATCCGATTGTGATGAAACTTAAATGTATGTTTATATCCCAAAGATTTCGGTTCCTTTCGATATTCGCGCATATCACACCGTAGCTTCCTGAATTATGATCCCTGAATATACAAAACACATGTTTTGATCTTGTAGTCCCTCTTAATGTCACAATTTTTATTCGACTTGATGAAACTTTTATATCATATACTTTTATATCCCAAAGATCTTGGTTCCTTTTGATATTGTCGCATGTCGGACTGTAACATACTGGATGATGGCCCCTGGTTGTACGAAAAATCACTTTTTATTTAGCTTGTATCTTGCATGGGAACCGCTTTTTCATATTTAATTCCCGTATGGTATTCAAATTTATGTCAGTAATATTCCTACAAAATTACGTGTTTTCATAATACGATAGAATGAAATGTGCCGATCCGCGCCTGTTTCAATCAAATTTACGCCAGTAATATTCCCCAAAAATTACGAGTCTTTGTTTATACGTCAGCAAATGAAGAAAGGCGTCCGAAATAAGAATTATTTGTGGTGATGTCAAATCATTTTCGTAAAATGGTATTTTAAAATTACATTGATAGTTAAATTACTTGTAAAAGGCATACATAACTTCGGCGTATGGCGTACGTGACCATTAACATATAACACTTACAGTTTGTTTCGTAGTAAGCACTGCCTTACATAGTAAGCGATTTTCGTGCGATAATCGAGATCGCGGAAAAGTTCCACTGTAGATGGGAATTTATATATGGTGTCTTAAAAGAAGTAGTTTCATTACGGAAAATAAGTTAAAGGTTTAATAGCTAACAATAGACAGGGGTTTTGAAATTTATAATGACAGTCCATTGATTTGGGGTGTTATATACTATAAGGATAATATGTGACATCAAGGACTCGTTTCTAGATGCTGTTGGTTGATATCAATGGATTAAACTTTCCGGCAATGGAGAAACCACCGAGGTAATCACGTAGATAAGGTTGACACTCATTATTGGATTGATGAAAAGTCCGACAAAAGAGAAGCAATGACTTCTGTTCAAGATTAGATTGGTGAATTTCCCGACAAAGTAATAAGTCAGTCAAGCAAAGCAGATTAAGCAGGTAAACAACGTAGGTGTATAGACGGTATAATACGATAAATACGCTAATCACGTAATTACCTAATCAATCCAGCATATTATCAACAATTATCGGTATGAGTGGTAGTTATACACTCAGTTTACTATATTAATTTTGAAATTCTGAATATTATTGTCCCCCGCCTTTCGAAGAAAGCAGGGGACTATTAAAATGGGTTCGTCCGTCTGTCTGTCTGTCTGTCTGTCTGTCCGTCTGTCTGTCCGTCTGTCTGTCCGTCACACTTTTTGGGACACAATAACTCTCTTCCTAATTGAGCTAGAATGTTCAAACTTGGTGTATGTGTTTATTAGGTCAATGCCTTGATGGAGTTCGAAGATGAGCATTTTCCGCTTAGGGTAAGCAGAGATAAGCAATTTGATTGGTTGATGCTTTGGGACACGATAACTCTCTTCCTAATTGGGCTAGAATGTTCAAACTTGGTGTATGTGTTGATTAGGTCAATGCCTTGATGGAGTTCGAAGATGAGCATTTTCCGCTTAGGGTAAGCAGAGATAAGCAATTTGATTGGTTGATGCTTTGGGACACGATAACTTTTAATTGAGCTAGAATGTTCAAACTTGGTGTATGTGTTTATTAGGTCAATGCCTTGATGGAGTTCGAAGATGAGCATTTTCCGCTTAGGGTAAGCAGAGATAAGCAATTTGATTGGTTGATACTTTGGGGCACGATAACTCTCTTCCTAATTGAGCTAGAATGTTCAAACTTGGTGTATGTGTTGATTAGGTCAATGCCTTGATGGAGTTCGAAGATGAGCATTTTCCGCTTAGGGTAAGCAGAGATAAGCAATTTGATTGGTTGATGCTTTGGGACACGATAACTTTAGTTCTAATTAAGTGAGATTGATGAAACTTGGTGTATAGATTTATTATATGAATACCTTTACTAAGTTCGATAATGAACATTTTTTGCTGAGGGTAAGCAGAGTGATAAGCAATTTGATTGGTAGAAACTTTGGAACACAATAACTCTCCTTCTAATTGAGGTAGAATGTTCAAACTTGGCATAGGTGTCTATTAGGTGAATGTTTAAACTTGATGTATATGTAGATGTTCATTAGGTGAATGTCTTGACTGAGTTCAATAATTAACATTTCGAGCTGAAGCTAAGCAGAGCTAATCGATTTCATTTGTCGATGGTTTGGGACAAGATAATCTTGATTCTATCTGATAGAGAGTGATGAAACTTAGTGAAAAAAATAAATGTGCGATTAATTAATATGTGTCATCTATTTATTTTGCAATTTCGGCGGGGGACATCAGCCTCACTGTTGGCTTGTTCATCATACCTTGATGTCCGATTGGGCATATTCCTGGTCGGACATTTGGAAAATAGCATAGGACATGTCCGGAATATACGGGCGAAATTACAACACTTAAGAAACTGAAATTCGACACGAAAAGTGACGAATTTCGTAACTTTCGACACAAATTTTTATGCTGTTGAGGGTTAGTTGACAACGATTTTATTTTTTATGTTGTTAGAACAGTTCAAGCTGCAAATAAAACGATTTTCAATTTTATCGCCAACCCTGCTCCAGTGGAGTTATCGCAATTTGAAGAAAGAGTATAATTCAGGTGTCTGTAGACACGTATTTTGTGTAGTGCCATGACACCTACGGAAAGAGAGGTTGTATTGGGTGACCATTATAATATGGTAGGGTGAGACCTGGACTATAATCACCAACCAAAACTTAGTTCGCTATTGGTCGATTAATGGCTATAGTAATGCTACAAAAATGGTTGAAATTTGACCTGAAAATGACGAAAATCAGCCGAAAAAAGTAATCAGGCTGTATCTCAGAAACGGTTGATTTCTAAAATCGATGATTTTGGCTGGGGAGTAGGCTCGATGGGTCGACCAAACCCTGTAAATATGAACTCAATCGGCCGACCCCCACCTTCGAACCTTCTGCATGGTTTTCTCATGGAATGGCTCTTAATCCCCTCAGGCGCCAATGACGTCACAGTGACCGAATGCATATTCGGAATGTTTATTCCTTAATTACCTATATACAGCCGGCGTGTGTATTCTTTAACGCCTGAAGGATTCCTTAATCCCCCGAATTAAATAAAACAATTGACTACGAAATAATTTGTTTTGTAATTCATTTTAATTTAAGATCCAATTTAGATTGCCTACAACTTTTAAACTTTGAAGTCTTGAACTCTTAATTAATTTTTTACAATATGGAACTTATTGGATGAACACTTTTAATATGTAAATATAAAAAACAGGTCCAGCTATGTGGTTTTTACTACGAGCACTTCGCTTTTCTACCTAAAGTGTAATGTCGTTAATATCTGTCATTAATTAATTAATCCGACTATAAAAGTTATAAAAACATGGGTCATAAATTAATTTACACGTCAGTGTTAGCAGTGAGTGTTAGTGGGATTAAGAATGTTGATTAGGTAATTATCTTTCTTTACGCCGGCCAGATCAAAGACATCACTCTAAGTGGAACGTGTGTATAATATCTCATGAACGAACGCATGGTAGAATCGTACACCCATATCGTATATTATTATTATATATAGCTAATAATGAATATATCGACAAATGACTGGCACCATTTATATTTCTTTAAGTTTGGGATATCAAGTATTACGGGGTAATCCAAATTACCGGTAAATGCGCTAGTTTTTTGAGTCGTCTTCATTTGACACGTGGCCTATTTAAACAAAGGCAGCTTAAATGGATCTACGGCAATTGAAATTCACTCTAAAATGTTCCAATCACAAATGTTTAAGCTATACCAATGAAAGACGATAATTCGGTGATTATGATTAGGCCAGGTAATTGGACCGTCAACAGACGCTTGTCAACTTGCCGTGTGTATTGATAGTGCTATATTGTACAGACAGTGAGATATTGTATAGATAATGTATATCCTATGTGTAGTGCCTGTGACGTCACCAGCCAATCAAATGGATTAAGGTCGTAATTGAAAAATTGAAAAGCGTTTTGGCATGTCGGACACTTAAACGTTAACAGCCGACTTAATTTTTGTCAGATTGGTGTGAACTTGCCGTAAAGTTGATATAGTAACCATGGGCTATACGTACATGAAATTTAGATTTTTGATCTTACGTGGTCTTTAAGTAGATTTGAAGGGTTTGACCATTTAATGATTTAATTTAAAAATGGAGAAGCGAGGCTAAGACTCAAATGACCAGTACGGTGGTTACGATCAATGCACAGTACCACCATTGTTAACTTTGATGAAAAAAAGTAAAATGAATGAAATTTTCAATATATTAATTTTGCATTATCTTGTTTTGAAATATCATATCGAGAATGGCCAGCTCTTTATTTAAATCTTAAATAATGCCCCTTTTAATTTATTTTGTGATGCTGAAGTTTGCATTCTGGTCTGAATAGTCTCATAATACTGCCCCCAATACAGCCAAGTGTTTCAAGGGAACAGAAGTTCAAACCGGGGTGTGGCCTTATTTAGATTTAGTTTGTGATGTGGATACCTGTCGTGATGTTCGCATTCTAGACTGATTAGTCCCATAATACTGTCGTGATCGTGTGCTGAATATAGGAGTATTAAAATTCACAGCCCTTTGCGGAGACTGTTGCGATCTCCGAACAGGTGATTGAGAATTTTCGAATCGGAAACTTGATTTATCCTTCGTCGATTTTGAACTTTGTAATTCTTGAATTTTGGATTCTAAATTATCTATAGTTTGTATGTGTTTATGATTCACATTATTTAGATGTTTGACATCCTCTTGGGCTTTAAACTTATCGTGACGTACGTTGGATAGGTCTTTATGCATAAAGTCGATTTGGCGCCTCATGTTAGCACGCTCCGTTTCCAACTTATGAATCTCCTCAGAATATTCACTAAGATCGTTCATCAGTTCCGTGTTCCGCTTGCCCTCGTTATCCAAAGATTCATTCTGATTATTATATTTCAAAATTAGACTCTCCACAAGGACTTGTAATCCATTATCGCGGACACAAGATTCAAATTGATCCAAACTGGCATCGATTTCATCCTGTAGATGACATAAAATAAGACACACTTGATCCAGTTCTTCGCTTAAAAGTGAGAAGGTCATGTCCTCGATGTGATGACTATTACGTGACATCGACTCTGTGTCGTCTTTTCGCAATAAAAACGGCTCCAGTTTAAGATGTAATTTGTATAATTCATCTTGAACCCGGGACTGATTGTAGTTGTCGTCCTCCGGATCTGATTCATGATCGTTACACGATTCACTGGCACTTATGGACTGAAGTCGAAGTCTTTCATTGGTTATTTGATCTGTCATCCAATTTGTGATTAACTTTTTGTCCTTTTCGGCAAGTTTTTTACTTTGTCCGAATTGTTTGTGTACGAATGTACGAACTTTCTTACGAATATCATTTAATATATTCTCTGTTTTTTTAGATGAACCTGAAAAAATGAATTTGTAGATAATGTTGGCATTAAAATTCGTCAAAATCAGCAAAGAGACTCACCATGTCCTGTGATTATAAATTCAAATCTGACTTGAAAACTTATCTGTTTGAATGATATTATTAGAGACTAGTGTATTATGCACCATGAGCACGTTTTGTGGATATAGTGCTTTATAAATGGATATATTATTATTATTATTATAAATGCTAAGGATTAAGGAATGTTCTGGGTTCGGATGCTAGTGTGGACTGAGAATGACCTTCAGGAGTTTGAAAACTGTTTTTTTTCTTGTCAGGGATGGGGTGTAGGGGGAGGGGGAGGCTAATGAGAAAAGTGATTCAGATGGCACTGAAAACCACGGTACTTTGTAACAAGATCTTCATGCCACAAGTTCTAAGTGGCAAAATAGCTGTCCTGGTGACCATTGCAGATGTGATCATTGAAATAGAAAAAAAATACTGTATTTCGATGTATTGTGCTGATGAGACAGTGTTGATGACACAAGACCCCCTTTTACTCGACTCATATGGGAATATCACATTTGTAGTTATTGTATTAATAGCTTGATAACATTTACAGAGAACTATTTGACGCATCGTCTTAATATATTATTAATTGTTTTCTGTAAGTATCTAAATACCACTGCAAGATTAATTTGTATCTACTGTGGATATTATATTTTCTATTTTTAAGATAGATTAAAACTGAGGATTACCATACCTTCATCACAATCTGATGAATATAGTCTTGGTTTAGGTTTCCCATCAATGTGATCACTTAAACCTGACACATGGTCTACCTCTGACTGTAGAGATGTAGCCAACCATGGATAGTCTTTCTGTATAATGTCAATAAATCCTGAAAATGCTTCCGGTCCTCTTTTGGGTAGGAGTTCTAACATCTTGTAGGCTCTGTTGGTAGGAGTTGATTCTGCCTAGACACATTTGAAGGAAAAATGTATTTAAATAATTTGATTGATTGTATACCATAAATTTGTTTGCTGTCTTTATGGTGCAATATTTAATAGTAACTGCTGGAGTACCCCACTACACGCAAAACTTTCAATAAGGACTTTATCGAAATGAATAGCAAGTACTGGAGGACCATTGTAAAAGCAAAAAATAACAGATAAGACAAACCTGTGGACAAGACAAACCTGTGGACAAGACAAACTATACATACATAGCAAGAAATAAACAACAAATATCAAATCAAGTGAATGCAATAAAACACACTAATATCGTCCAAGCCAAGATTTAGAAAAAATCACATAAAGCAGACAAGACACCAGGATTTATCTGCCCCTAATATACAACAGGTGTCACAGTTGTTCAGTGAGTTAGGCGAAGGCTTATTAACCAGGTGATCCTAGGTTTGATCCTGGTGTTGACTGAGACTGTGATTTACCATTCTGGTTTCCAACTGTCATTGGAACAAGACAGAAGACCTGGCCTGAGCAGCATGTGGTCATTTTGAAGGGTTGAAAAACATGAGATCCCATGCATGTACAAGTTGACAAGGAACAACGTTGACTAATCATTTGTATGGGACGAGAAACCAAGATCTTGTTTAGATGTTGTCGTGCACGTAGGTGTGCACGTAAAAGAATCCTTAAAGAATAAGCAGATATGTTGCTGTCCAGACAAAATTAAATTCCCTCGTAGCACACTACTCCAATAACCCTATTTCATTTCTGATGCAATATGTTTAAGGTGAAATGAAATGAACTGGGGTTTAACATCCTACTGTTCTGCTCCGAGTTGGTCAATGATGTTGAGCACAGTGTGCTAAACCATTCGGTCACCAAACTTCCTCTAAAATATGTTGGACACGCATTCTGATATAAATAAACATTATCTACTTACACGTATGATGTCAATCATAGAAGATTGAAAAATTTCATTGGCTAATAAAGCTGATAGGATATCTTCATTCATGATGATTCCTTCGGCTATTTTTGGTGTTTGGCGTTTCAGCACACTTTTCTGTATTGCATTCATTTTCTTTGATGTTAGATTTCAATCGGTCGCCGAAAGTAAAACTGCTGTAGAGTTTTTATCTTCAGAGTTTGGGTGGCCGGAGTTCCTTAATTTTTAACAAATGTCATAATTCAAGAATTCAGAGAAAATTTAGACTGTTTGACTTTGTCCACATTGTGGAGTGTAATTTGAATTTAAAAATGAGTCAGTTAATGTACAGCATTGATGTTGCTTGTAGAATCTTTAAATAGAGAAAGAATTTCACATTTTGTCCAATCACCCCATCAAAGATTTATGTTGAACAATACTTGTTCCTGGTTTCAATTGACACAACCTTTTTGATTTGGGTCCAAAATACAACTGTCCATTTCATAGAATTTATTTTGATTTTAGTTTATGAAATGGTAATACAAATCACAATAATTCCATGTAGTGTCGTCTCAATGCAAATCACAATAATTCCATGTAGTGTCGGCTCAATGCAAATCACAATAAGAGTAAATGAAAGCTTTCATTTAAATATCTTGACTTCAACTGTACCTCTGTTCTAAACATATAATATGAAGGATATCACTTCTAAACAAAACACAGAAAGAACAAACTATTCAAATATATTGTATTTCCAGCTAGAGTAAACGAAAAATAACTAAAATTTAAGCTCTTATATTTCCTGGCTTCTGATGTCTAATAGAATATGCGAGTTGTATGTTTTGTTTTAAAAATTGAATCGTTGAGACAGTTGACAAGAGTTGATTTCCTCAAGGTTGTTTCTGCTTTCTAATAGTTGATTTCATCAAAGGTTGTTTCTGCCATCAAATATTGGATTTCATCAAAGGTTGCACATGTTTCTGCTGTCTAATAATTGCCTCCATGAAAGGTTGTTTCTGCTGTCTAATACAATATGCAGGTTATTTTGTGTTTTGTTTTAAAATTTTAAAGTGTAGACACAGGTTGGCTATAGTTACATATTATAAGACTGCTCACGGTTGAATCAGTTACTATTTCTAGATCAACATACCTTGACTTGCATAATGTACAGTATCACAAGTTCTGAATATAAAGTCATTTTGGTAATATGAGATTTAGATAATCTCTTGATTTAATCTTAATCATATAATGTTACCTTAGTGTTAATCAGAACATGTATACATAATAAAATGGTTAATATGATTACCATATTACACATAATAAACACCCCTGGAGCTATTGGCCATTAATTTGAAATAGCTCATTTATTGGACACACTAAACGAAAGGCATTTAAAGGAGCTAAATCGGTAAAATTTGGGACCTACAAATTGACACAAATGGGTCGCAACGTATATAATAATGTAATATGAATGTAAATAAACTGATGTACATTCAATCGTTTCTGTTTTTACTCTAATTTGAAAGCAGTTAAATGTTCGGCGAAAAATGCCAGAAGTCTCAATCCAATGGCAATCTCTAGCGTCTGGTTATTCCAATCTACACCAATAGTATTTATTGCGCATGTTCTCCAGATAAGAATATGGGGTCAAGGTTTGACATGACTTGTGGAATATTGTTAACCTAGTTCTTCGAGTCGCTTGTTACAAATTGCGCTGAAACGCATTATGGTACACAATTTGTGTACCAATCGTAAAATGTTTATTTTGTCTTAAATATTGGATATCAGAAGCCCCTCTTTTTCTGGTAAGATCACATCACAATGTTGATTAAAATTGACAAATAATTTGTGTTTTCATTGTCGAAGGTTTTGGATGATATTGAGTTAGAGACTTAGCTACTTTAAGGATGAGAACTTGAATTCACCTTCAAGATTTGTTCAAGCTCAGTTCTCAATTATTGGGGTAGCACCTGCAGGACTGATTAAGGGAAGTGTGTGCATGTTATATTGGAGTGACAGTTAGAAGTAGGCAAATGTTCTGCTTTTTTTTATAATTCTGGATATGACCATACCGAATTAGAAGAATACATGTTAGTCTTAAAATACCAGATGATTGTGTTCTGTTCCATTAATTGTCATTTAAGTGTGGTTTAATGGTCGAGAGCGAGACATTAAGTAATATACAATGTCTTAAGCTCAAACCAATAAACAACTTAAAATACAAACACTTGCACATGCTTTGCAATGAAATACGTCATGCGGGCCCAAAATTGCAACTAGTAAAAATAATGAACGATTGGCACATTGACCGTACCAATATTTGAAATAATGGTACACCAACATCAAAGGATGAAGTCATGCACATCTGTATTTTAATTATTGGTACTGTACATTTTGATCACACTGAACGTCCACGACCAAGTAGTACTCACATATTCGCTTTACAAAATAAGGTACACAATACTTCCACATCAGGTGTTGCAGTTATTGAATGATTATAATTTTCAGGTGTTAAATAATATATTGTGTCTATATAGAAAAATAGAAAAAAGTTGTTTAAATAAAATTTTTACTAAAATGAGGTTGAACAGCCTACTTTTCTGCACCAACTGAGCTAACGAAGCTTGATATACACCATGCAGTGCTATATTTGACATATTGCTATGACCATTTATGGATCATTGGGCCACGGTTTTCTGTCCCATCCAAATGACTAGATGTTTTGCAAGGCCTTCCATCTGCCCCACTGACAAGGAGAAAATCATGCTAGAAAATTCAAGGCCAAAACCATGATCGAACCCAAAACCTCATGGTTAGTCAATCAGCATCATACTCACAGAGTCACTGTGGCTTATTTTTGGTAAGAATGAGTCATAATAATAAGGACTCTATTGACATTGATTATAGATATACAAGGGAGATAAGAGCAGGGCTCTATAAAAGTTGAGTGTGCCTGCGCACACACTTGAAAATGTGCCTGCAGGGTCATACTGAAACATAGGGATGTAGCCAGGATTTGGTGAGTGGTGTAAAAATATATGTGGCGAGCGGAGCGAGGCAAAACAATTTTTGGGAGGGGGGCGTGGTCTTTTATGAAAATTAAACCCTTCTTGGTGTATTTTCAGAGCATCTTCTGCCTTTTGTATTTGGTTCAGTGCAAATCAAATTTCCATTTATATATTCAAATTTTACCAAATTCACTTAATTTTCATTAATGATATAGGGATCTAAAAACTTTTTGACACCACCCGACCGAGCATAAAATTGTCCCGCCCCACTCTGTTTCTCTGGATAGATAATAATAATAATAATAATAACAGTTTATTCACAACTACATGTACAAGCATGAGTATGGAAGTTACAATAGATAAGTGGAGGACCTTTCGGTATTTGTTGTTTTGTTGGGTTTTTTTTTTCAAATATTACTTTATTACTTTGAGATTAAAAATTAAAACGATTCTTAAAACGGTGTTTGTGTTTTATTTGAGTACAACAAATTATGACAACAGGTAGATATTGATAATTAAAACACGTTGTATTATTTGACTTGTTTGTAAAGTTGTTGTACGTGTCTCACGAATATTATTATTATTACGGTGGAATGAGAATCAGGTCAGGCAGAAACTGAGAAAGCTCTCATCGTCCTCCTAGTCCTACTCTCGGGCCGTAGCAAATCCACGGTCAACACAGGTAAGAAATAAAATAAGAAACATCCTGAAAATTTGAAGGCACGTGTTGGACAATTACGACATTCAACCCTTAAACATTGGAGTGCCGTAAATTGGTCGGCAATTAACAAATATAAAGACCGTAGAATAATTCTAAGTATAAATAAACAAAATATCAATACATCTTTCATTAAACTAATTTGGGATGATAGGGTCTACTACGGCACACAAAAATAAATTATGCCGTGACAGACATGGTTTGCGTACGTCGGCTTTTAGTTTTACCATGGCTTTGCCGTTTAATTGCCGTGGTAAATTTTGAGCGCCGAGTCTGTGTACAGAGAAGGACGAAGGGGTTTAAATACGACTGGGCGGCTTTCTTCGATTTTTTCTTTGTGCTGGGCGGCAAAAAATAGTGCCGGGCGCAGGTGCCGCCCGGCGTGGCTACATCTTTAAATAGGTGCCTGCAAAAAAGTTTTTTTTAGCAAATGTGCCTGCGCACGCCGTGCACATGTGCGCGGAAATATCGATGCCTGGATAAGAGAATTAAATACCTATAAACAGTTATAACATTATAACTGAAATGAAATGAAATGGTGTTTAACGTCCTACTGTTCTGCTCCAAACAGGGCTAATGAAGACGGGCATACGCCATACAGTGTGCTATGAGGGAAATTTTGCCCGGACAGCGGGACTACAGCCTCCTTTTATATCGAATTCCAAATGTCAAGGGATTTTTTTACGTGCCATGCGAATGTGTACACTGGACCTCGGTTTTTCGTACCATCCAAACAACTAGACAGCTGTCCTTGTCAGGCCCTCCGTGCTGCATCACTGACAAGGGAGAATTGATAACCACGATAGATAACATAGATTTATACAGGTGGGCAGTTATTACATTGATTACAGTATACAAGGGAGGTAAAACAGGTGTTCATTATAATTAAAATAACAATCTCACAGTGGGTGTCTATCAAGTGTCTGTACATGTGTATAATATCTTGCTTAAAGATGCATTATGTAAGAGCTAAATCAGCCTATTGCAGGTCTTTTGGTTTCAAATGTTATGATATAGTAGCTCCTTAGACTGTCAGATGGTCGTGATTTTTAATGGATTGAAATGCCATTTAATTTGAATTTAAAAAGTGGATAATCAAGAATTTGTTTATTATCATATCAATGGTAGCAATGAAAATTGAGACTGCTAATCTTCGCTCAGAATAAAGTAATCTGAATGAAATATTCAATATATTCAACTATTATAGCAAGAACGGGCAGCTCTTTATATAAATCTTACATAATGTATCTTTATCTAGATCAGATCAAAGTATATAATAATTGGTGTTTTGTTTATTTCATAATGGATATAGAGGTTATAATTGATATGATCTTAAAGATGGGGCACTTCAGGTCCTAGATTCCCTCCACATTGTGATTGTGGGTGCCACAGTAGTTCACTAACCAGGAGGGAGGGGGGTTTGATCTAGCGTGTTTTCCTTTGTCAGTTGTGCAGGTTGGCAGGCTGCACAAAAAAAACCAAACTAATTGTTCGGATGGGACAAAAAATGTAAAAGAACCATCGACAGGTCACCAAGGTTAGGTAAGAATGCAGTGGTGAAAGTTTTGTATTTTGATACTTATACTTACTCTGTTTTATTAAATGTGGCCCTGGTCACCTCTGTTTTGTTAAATGTGGCCCTAGTCACCTCTGTTTTATTAAATGTGGTCCTGTTCACCTCTGTTTTGTTAAATGTGGCCCTGGTCACCCCTGTTTTATTAAATTTGGCCCTGGTCACCTCTGTTTTATTAAATTTGGCCCTGGTTACCTCTGTTTTATTAAATGTGGGCCTGGTCACCTCTGTTTTATTAAACGTGGCCCTGGTCACTTCTGTTTTGTTAAATGTGACCCTGTCATCTCTGTTTTGTTAAATGTGGCCCAGGTCACCTCTGTTTTGTTAAATGTAGCCCTGGTCACCTCTGTTTTGTTAAATGTAGCCCTGGTCACCTGCGTTTTGTTAAATGTAGCCCTGGTCACCTGTGTTTTGTTAAATGTAGCCCAGATCACCTGTAACCATGTGTGGTATTGTTCATATTTTAAGGAACAATGGACATTATTGATATCTAGAAAATAGAAAACCCCTATTGAATGGGACAGAGTGCCGGCTTGGGAAGGTACAGGCTACATTTGATGGGTAGAACCCTGAACCAGAAGTATAACTCTGGAAGTGGTAGTGCAACGCCACCAGGCCTTTGTCACTCCCCAGTTAGAGTTGCACTTATTCCACATATTTCAGACTTCAGTATCTGGACAGTCCTAGTGTAGCCACAAACCTCGAACAGACAAACATCATGTTAGCACATGTCGTTAGCAACGGAGGAGAATTTGGCCTCGATAGTAACCTTTGTACATTGTGCGATTTTCGTCTGTCAACGATTGTTTTAAGTGCATTCCAATGTAAGCACTGACTGACCTCAGACTATGCAGACTATGGTGGATTTAGCGTTATCTGAATAGCCCTAGGGTTGGAGGAATTTTTCTCCAAGAAATATTGTTGCTGTGTGAACACCTAGATTCGATTGGTATACTCAAGTCTGGAAAGCACCTGTCACAGACTTTGTCAAGTACAAATTAACACAGAACCTACATACACGCCAGAAGATAAGGCACCTGTCACAGATTTGTCAGAAACACATCATCACACAACATTTAATAAAAGCGTTGTGTGATAATTTTTACTTGATAAAGTATGTGACAGATGCCTTCTGTCCAGGCTTGTATATATTTGACACTGGTTGAGCTAGATGAAGTAATAAAGATAAAGTATCTGCATTTTTTCCATTTCAGAAGGTGAGAAAAACTCTAATTCCATGAGGCAAAGCGAGTAATTGCACCCCTTCCACTATTAGGATGGGTGGGTAGGGTGACCAAATGGTTAACACGTGCGCATTGCACCATAAGATCTGTCTTTTAAGTCAAGTGGCATGGTTTCTATTCCCCGCTTGTACGTGACAAGGAGTAGGATCGCCTGTAAAACCTCATGGGTTTTCTCTGGGTCCTCCAGTTTCCTCCCACTGCTAAAGACTCCAACATGCAAGCGAAGTATTGAATTAAAATTGAACCATATGTTAGTCCAGAAATAAACTGTTTGTGTCGAGTGGACGTTACACCCATTTCTCTCTCTCTCTAGGTTCAAACAAATACAATACCACTAAATCCCCCTACGCGCAAACAAATTGTTGAAATAAAGTCCAACCATACATTAATCCTGAAATGACCTAGTTTGTGTCGAGTGAATGTTAAACCCCATTTCTCTCTCTCGTGCATGAGTAAGATATTACACGGTTGAGTAATATGATTATCAAGTAATGAACACCAGAATCTGTCAGAAGCATTACATGTATAATTCTTTATTCAAATATTGTATTTAATGCTTGATATAAGAAAAAATGCTTATTTTAAATATGGTAGCCATGGTTACAACCTGATGTATCTAAGGGTTTCTTACAACAGGCCCATTTATATACTACTCGGAGTAGCTTCCCATGATTATTGTAACATTCAGTAATTTCACGACCTTTGCGGTGAAACCGACATGCCATGTTATTGTTTTCGCTACTGCGAAACAATTTTTGACACCGCAGACATTTACCAATTCCCATTTTGAATGTTCGTTTCATTGTGGACACATCATTTGATTGTTTGGAAATGTTGGTCATCTGCCGTTCACGTAACTTCATAATGGAAAAAGCTTCTCTGGGTGTCGTGTCTGGTAGAGTTTGGTCTCCTTCGTGATAAGTCCGTTCTCGTGTAATGTTTATTTGAAATTGCTCACAGTCATGGTCGCCATCTTTGATTTCAACGTCTTGTGGAACAACATCGTCGAGGTGAAAAGAACTGGAACGTGCCTCGTTGTAGTTTTTCACAATTTTACGAACTTGTTCCAATTTCTGTTTAACGGACACAAGTTCCCGTTGAAGCCAGAGAATTTCTTTATTTAAGTTGGAAATGGTTTGAAGATGGTCTTCCTTCTCTAAATTAATCCTTGATAAATCTTCTTTCAAAATCACAACCTCACTCTGGAGTATGTTGTCCCTAGCAACCCTGTCTTTAGCAGATTTGGTATCTCGTATGTAGAATCGTAATTTTGTAATCAAATCAGAAGCATTCTGTTGTTTGCTCTCTACAGAACCTGGACGATTGGATGGTGGATAGACACTATTAACCAGCTCCTGTAATGATGCTCTTGTAGCTAAAACAGTTCGATGTTGTTTGTTGATTTCCTGCAAGGAATTCTGGACCCTCTCCTTCCAATGATTTCTTTCAGCCTGAAAATTAAATATTATTGTTTAGTCATAATCAGATATCATAATAATTCTGAGTAGAATTCTGGGCCATAATGGGTAAAACATTGTAGTTTTTGGTAAAAAAATCTGGAGTTCCATACGGTTTAAGGTCTATTTTCCATCATCTCTGTTTTCTGTGCGTGTTTTTTGACGGCAAAAAAAGTCAGTCTTATGCAAAAGTAATGGGACAGTTTTCATGTAATCGGCTAAAATGTCCAATGAAACATGTGCCTGGAAAACGAACCTATACTTAAAGTAGCTAAGTCTCTAACTCAAAATCATCCAAAATCTTCAACATTGAAAACACGATTTATTGGTTAAATTAAATCAACATTCATGTTGTGATCTTACTGGGAAAAGATGGGTTTTTGATATCCAATATTTAAGACAAAATAAACATTTTACCATTGGTACACGAATCGTGTACCATAATGCGCTTCAGCCCCAGATGTATCAAGAGGGACGAGGCTAGACACATTGCACCAAATCTAACGGCGAATGTAGGCTGGAATAACCAGACGATAGAAATTTGCACTCGCTTGAGACTGCTGGCTTATTTCGCCGAACATAACTGATTTGAAATTGGAGTAAAAATGGAAACCATTGAATGTAAATCAGTTTATATACATTCATATTACAGTATTATATGCGTTGCGACCCACTTTTGTCAATTTCTAGGTCCCAAATGTTAGCGATTTAGCTCATTTAAGTATGAGCATAATACATATCGTCACATATCGGTTCGAGAGAAACGCTATGATATATTACCGTATATGAACCAGGAACCAACTATGACATCATCGCAGCCCTCTTGGAATTCTGACATCATATCAAAAATCAAAATCTGTCAATCAACTATCAGTTATACAAAAAACAAGTATTCCAAGTCTCATGACAATTGTACTTGGCCTAGCTGCAGAACCCTAGGCTTTTTTGAATACTTCTGCTGCAAGAAGGAGATTACCAAGTGAATCTAAGAGGCCTCTGATTAAAAAATTACGAGTATCATGAACCACGAATATTATCATATCGAACACAAAAACAAGATCCCATATACCTGCATGGAAAAGAACCCTTGGCAGTTGGAATTTGATAAAAAAAATTCAGCACACTGAATGCCATGGCATATGGTCGTCTTCGCTAGCCTGGTTGGTGAAGAAAAGTAGGACGTTAATCCCAATTTCATTTAATTGTTCATTCTATTTTCTAAAAAAAATTGTTCTTACTTGTAGTAATTGACAAACTGTATCTATGAAACTTTTTTCTCCACTTTCTTCTGTTTCTGTCTCTCTTTCATCAGCTTTTATTTCTCCTTCTTTGTCTGTTACCTTTTCCTTTTCTTTTGTTTTCTCACCAAATGTCTGGCGAACCATGGATAAAATATCATCATCAGTCTTTAACACTTCAGTTTCTGTTACAGTCGCCATTTTTAGATCAAATTCAGATTATTAAATTAAAAACTGGAGAATAACTTTGTATGCAATTGATCTGGTTCATCAATTTTAACTCTTATTATATTGATTTCATTGATATCCTTTAGATATGTACAGTCTAAACTATTAGTCTCTATGAGTCATAATATCATTTTGTTGTTTCCGACTTTTCACACCCACCTCCTTGTTTGGCTATGGAATTTAGAATGATTTACTTATTGTCTTTGCCATGATATTATGAATAGGTTTTTCTTTTGAATTTACAATTCATCGATCAATATATTGTTATTTCCAAATATTGGATACAATATAAAGATTCATTAATTTTCACAAATTAATTTCCAATAACTGAAAAGACAAAACACTGGGAGATAAGTCCTATTTATATCCAGATATCTTAGTCAGTGAATCCAAACTTCAGTGTTCTACTAAAACCTTTAGAGGTGGAAGTCAGTAGATCCAAGATTTAGCTTTCTAGTGAAACCCTTGGGCATAGTCAATGGAACAAAACTTCAGCATTCTCTAATGAAACTTGTTGGCCATAGTCAATGGATCAAAACTTCAGAATTCTAGTGAAACTCGTTAGTCGTAATCAGTGGATCCAAGCTTCAGCTCTTTATCAAAACCTTTGGCAGTAGTCATTGGATCCAAACTTCAATATTCATAACGAAATCCATTTGCTTGTTATCGTATCCTTCAGATTGTAATCGTGTATGATTATTTTGTATTAAATAAAATGTTGTATCTACATTTCGCCAGTATATTTGACTTGATTTATCAAGTTGTATGTATTCAGTGAACTCAGTAAGTTTCCTTGTCAATACTAAGTAATCCAATATATGCTGACAGAATATAATAATACATTGATATTGGTTGACTGTGTAGGCCTATTATACTAATCCTTTATCTGGATTATTGGATTAGATCAAGATCTAATCAGATTATCTACAGAGTTATTTTAAGGCCTAGTTACAAAAAGGGATCAATGTTGGGAGGCATTAAGAAGTTAGATAATGTAGAGCTGGTTGAGGCAGACTGATCTCAAAACACATGTACCTTGATTTAAATTCAGAATAACATAATGAATAGTGGACATGTATAATATAAATGAAATGAAATGGGGTTTAACAACATCCTACTATTCTGCTCCGACTGGGCTAATATTGATGGCTATACACCATACAGTGTTCTATGCAGGAAATTTTGCCCGGACAGCAGCGCTACAGCCTACTAAATTTCAACTGCCAAGGGATATGGACACGCCGATGTGTACACAGGCCCTTTATTTTTTTGTCTCATCCAAATGACTTAATGCTGTGCCATGCCAGGCCCTCTGTTCTGCACCACTGACAAAGAGGAACCATACCGGAGAATCCAGATAAACTTTCTTGGCCAATGCAGGGATAGAAAACTAGACCCCAAGCTTCCCTGTCCAATATGAAGTGAACAGATAGAATTTTCTGAATGGATGGGAACATGGGGGTGCAGCAGAGTGATTATGGGTGGGTTGAGGTGTGATAGAATGAGATGGGAGTGTGGATGGGTTGAGGTGTGACTGTGGGATGGAAGTGTGTTTGGGTTGAGGTGTGGCAAAGTGGGATGGGAATGTGGGTGGGTTGAGGTGAGATTGGAGTGGGAGTGCGTTGAGGTGTGACAGGGTGAGATGGGAATGTTATTGAGTTGAGGTGTGGCAGAGTGGGATGGGAGTCATGGTGGGTTGAAAGTGGCAGAAATTACATATGTTTTCTTCTGGTTATTAGATTTCAAGTCAGTGATATGACATTTACATTTCTTTACCAGATTACTTAATTACACCTAAAAATGCTAATTCCATATAAGGATTATTTGTCAAGTAATTACAATTAAAAATGAGATTAGTGTTAAGTAACTGGGAATTATGGAGTGTGCATGTTGTATCTGTGTTTCATGGCTCGGAAATAATTAAAAAGTTGTACTTGACAAAAGGTCACTCACCATATAAGCACCTGACATTTTGAACTTTGCTCTGGATTATCAAGATCATGAAAAGAAAGAGAGGAATGGAGTTTAATGTCCACTCAACCCAGACTAGGTCATTTTGGGAGTAATATATGTTTCAGTTTTATATAATTAATTCGCTTGGTGGTAGAGGTTTTTAGCAGTGGGAGGAAACGGAAGGACCCAGAGAAAACCCACGGGATTGGACAGGCTCCTGACTAGTGAGCTGCCACAAGGTTGAGTAAGCGACCTTACTACTTGTCACATACAAGTCAGGAATCAGAACCTGTAGACTTTCCAAACCCCACATAAAGATCAATAAAAACATTGATAAAAAGACAAATCTGTAGCAGACAGAATGATAGGCAACAATGGCTATGGCATGTGCCTTATTTTCAGGCTTTTGTCATGGTGGCTGAATTCGAGGCATGAATCACCTATCCACTGGTATCATCAAACTCCCTTTCTTTCATCAAACAGATTTATTTGGCTCTTATTACCCTACATACCTCAATATATTAGAACTTCAAAAACTCTCATATTCCAACAGTGGATAGGGCCTTGCAATGGGCAGTGTGTAGTCATCAGATGGGATAAAAAACTAAGGTTCAGTGTATACACTGGCATATATGTAAAAGACCCATTGACAGTTGGAAATGGAAATAAGGGTAGGCCTGCTTCCTAGACAAGATTGCGTCATATGGCACATATAGCCATCTTCATTCACTCAGTCGGTGAAGAACAGTAGGAACTTAAACACCATTTCATTTCATTGCATTTCCGACAGTAGATTTGAGCACAATACGTTCAGCAATTCCAAATTTTTCCGAATTATTTTGAATTCGAACTGTCAAGGTTTTTATCACATCTGAATGACTATACATTGCCCCTTGCCTGGTCCTCTTTCCAGCACCACTGACAAAGGGGGGAACCACACTGGAAAATCACAATGAACTTTCTTGGCCAACACTGGATCTCAAGGTTAGTCAGCAACTGTCTGACTCACTGAGCAACCATAGCTCCCTATTTAATACACAAAAATATATCAGGGACAATTTAATTACAATATATATATAGTATGATTTTTTCTACATTTCAACAAAAAAAATAGACAGTCAATTTTTAGACATACTGTCCAATCAGAATGATCAGCTTGTGTTTATACATCCTGTCCAATCAGAACAGACAACCAGTGTTTACAATCAAAACGGACAACCAGTGTTTAGACATCCTACTGACAATCAGAATGGACAGCCAGTGTTTGGACATACTATTTTCCAATCAGAATGGGCAGCCAGTGTTTAGACATACTACTGTCCAATCAGAATGGGCAACAGGTTTTTAGACATTCTGTCCAATCAGAACGAACAGCCGGTGTTAAGACATCCTGTCCAATCAGACATGTTGTCCAAAACAACAACCTTCGTGCTCTATTTCATGTCTGCAGCATTTCCATACATACATCACGCGTAATAACTGCCCAGAATTATTGTACTTTTCGAATCTCTCCTTTGGCTTAGGATGATAGCAGCATGCTAACTTATGATTATCAATCTTTCTAAAAAGTTTCTGACAACGTAGACATTTTGCAACAGGCCCTTGTCGCTTGAATGCCCTTTGAGACAGTTGACAATGTTCTTGAACTTTGACCTCATCAGTGGATTCATCTTTTGTTCGACGACCTTCGGAGTTCGCATTACGGGAATTTGTTACTTTCATTTTACTGTCCAGACCATTAAAACTGGAATGAGAGCCTTTAATTTCTAGAGGCTGTCGGTGCCATGAGGGCACTTTCAGATCTTGAAGCAGACGACTGGTGGAGTAGTCCCCCCTTTTTGTGTTTTTAGCCAGGACATTTGATAGAGTTACAGAACTTGAGACACTGGAGATGGTTTTGTCACCAACATAACATTTCTTATTAAATTTGTCCATACTAGAAATTGCATCGTGGAGGGATGTCTCAAGTTTTTTGGCCTGTATTTTCAGGGCGCGCAACTTCTCTTCAGATATTTGTATGTATGATCTATCTCTTGTAACTAAACTTTGGCTTGCCGCTGTTGAGCGATCACTTCGATGTCCGTAACCTTTATTGGAAGACATACATGTAGCTGTTGATTTTTCGGAAGAGATTCGCTCTGATCTGGTATCACGCGTGTCGAGTTTAGTTACCGAGGGAACAATTTCAAAAAGGACTGAATTAGATAAAGAAGGTGGTTTGGATGAAGCATTGGCATTTTTTGTAGGTTTTTCTAATACAATTTCAACTTTTTGGTGATCTTGCACCTCTTCCTTGACCTCGGACTTTGCTAACATCTGCTCCTCAATTACCACATTTATTTCATTGAGTTGCTTCTGCAAAGATTCAACATCATTTTGTTTTTGGTAGAGTAAATTTTTCAAGTTATTCAATTCTTCATACAAATTTTGATTTTCTCTTTCCAAACTGGAGTCTTTTGCTTCACTTAAAAGTTCATCAATTGTTTGTTTAAGAACCACAGCAAGATTAAATCCGTTTTGTTCAATTCCGAGAATATCCAAACACTCAAAATGTTCCTCCATCATGGAATTACATATTTCCGTTAAAATCTCGACACATTTTGGAAGCGCTTCTTTTGATTCTTTTTCTGTAATGTCTCTGAGCACCTCATCACCAATATCGAAGCACTGTAGAAGCACAGTCAGCTGGTCACAGCATTGTTGTATGACGGATTGAGCACCTAATGTATTACGTCGCTGAACATCAATTTCTTGAAGCGCGACTTTGATCTTTTCCAGCCATCGATCTCGTTCTATTTGTATTTGCGAACTGAACCATTCTGTGACATCATCAGGAACTACTTTTTCCTGGTCATTATTGTTATTATTATATTCCTTTAAATAACTAGCAATGGTTGACTTGATGTCAGAGTCTATCTTAATACTTGCTTCTTTAGTCTCTCCCATTATTATTGCAGAATATATTGTTAAACTTCACTTAAACCTCTGCCATCATGATTCACATTGGCAACATAAAGTTGAATGCTTGTCAACATCATATTTAGGTCTGATTTCTCTTTGGTATTTGGCACTTTTCTTTATAGTTTTGATACTTTGATAGGTCACGAAATGTCTTTACAGCAATTATCTGAAGAAGAAAATAAGAAAAATATTTTAATACAGGCATTCATAATGAGTTACCGTAAGGACAACTGGCACCGATCAGCAGTAGACTAACTTGAATTGTCTGTGCTGGGATGTAGAATGAAGGAATTAAAGGCACCTTCATTAGTGGTTTCATCTCCTATTACAGATCGTCAATGTATCTTTAAACCACTTCAAAAAAGTGTTGATCATCATAAAATGACAAAGTTGGTATTTTGATACAGTTGCTTTATATAAATACTTTATTGTTATTAAACCATTGGCTTAAATGTTGTAACACACATTCACTTTTCAACTACCACATAGATATGCTGGAGACTAAAGGGAAATAACTCTGCAGTGAACTATAATTGACAGGCTTTATAAAGATGATTGTTTAGGAACTATTATGCCCAAAGTTGAATCTATTGAGGATAATAACCATTGATCTCTTATTGGTATGAATTTTGAAATGTAGAGGCACATAAATCATTGAGAACCAAAAAGCATTGAAATAGAGTTAAACATCCTACTTTTCTACATGAATTAGACTAATGAAGACGGGCATAGACCATGCAGTGTGCTATGAGGCTAATTTTGCCCAGACAGCAGTGCTACTGCCTACTCTTATATCGAATTCCAATTGCCAAGGGATCGTTTTTGTCCCAGGCCTTCTGTCCTGCACCTCTGACAAGGGGGAACCACGCAGGAAAATCTGGATGAACTTTCTCGACCAATTCAGGGATCGAACACTTGACCTCCAGGTTAGTGAGCCAACGTCTTACTCACTTATCCATTGTGTCTCCCTATGAAAATTCACTTACAAACAGATTTTAAAAAAAACCACAATTTATATGGAAAACAATCATTGGTTTGTACACACATAGCACAGCTAAAAAGTAATATATATCCCAATATATATTACAGTTTAGTTTACTAAGTTATCATTTGTGCTTGATAACGATAAGAGAACTCTTGTCAAAACCTTGTGCTATATATGTACAAACCAGTTCTTCTTCTATTCGTGTTTAACATCTGCTTCCATCGATGGTGATATCACAGACATCTTGTCTTATTTTATTACGCTTAATACTAATAGCGCACACACAGGGGTCTTTCTTGTAGGAGGAAACTGGAGTAAACCCACAAGGTTGAGAAGGTGTCCCTATCTCCAAGCCACATACACTCATATCAGGGATCAAAGCCACGACTGCAAGCCAGAGTTGACCGACCAGTTAGAGCTCAAAGCGTGACACTTTAGACCACTAGGCCATCCCAACCCCTCTACAAAGCAGTGATTGCTTTTCCTTATAAATTGACTTGTATTTTTTTATTGTGCTCACTGGTTAAATGCCACTCAAGGATTATAAAATAATTGAACACATTATTCTGTCTAGAGGACTGATTAATTTGTGAATACAACCATTTAATGGCTTAAATATTACATGTATCCGATGAAAAACATAAGGCTTGCTTCAATGAACAAATTTACCCCACACATAACTTATAGCTTATTTAACAATAGATGCCAAAGTGCATGGTTTATGTATTACATACAGTAAGTATATTACAAAGTTCTTCAGTCTAAAGTGACATTTTATTTATTGTGACCAGATATAAATTTGTTTTAATATCAAAATACAAAATGGACACTTATTATACACTGTAATCCGGGTATCATTTAATCTTGTGTATTTAACACTAATTTCTTTCACATTCATTCAATATCAAATTCTTGTTTAAAAATTTGTTAAAATCATTTAAAATCACCTTAAATCATCTAATTTGTACTTGTGTCCAGTTTATAGCTGACTGATTAATTTCAACTGGACACAGGTACAAATTAGATGAATTTTGGTGATTTTAAATGATTTTTACGAATTTTTAAACCAGGATTTGATATTGAATGAATGTGAGAGTAATTAGTGCTAAATACACAAGATTAAATGATACCCTGATTTACAGTGTATATATATATACAATTTGTACACATTGTGTATATATTTAGTTTCCACTAATCATATGTAATTTGTAAACTAGTTTGTATACAATGTCTTGAATGTGTGTGTACACTAACAATATACAGTGTCTTGAATCTATCTCATTAAAATACATATCTATTATTTCGTTTTGTTTTTTTATACTTTTGAGCGGGTCATATGAGCGGCTTTGGACCTATGACATCAGATCAGTGTTGATGTTTCTAGTGGGATATCCACAGTTCTGTGCACCGTATGCTCAGAACTTGCTGTAACAACCCGTTTCATTGGCTAATCCCTCACATCAACCAGAACGCGGATTATACAACAACTCTTCCAGATCCTAGTATAGTAAAGACAAATGAAACAAAATTTTTAACTATAAAAGACGAAACGAAATAGGACCTGTGTTTTAATCATATTGTGTTTTCAATGTGTATATTATTATATACCATATACAGAGTGTCTGTGACAGTTTCCTTTTGTGCAAACGTGGCTCGAGCATTGAACACCTACCACTTACAAGAATTAAGATGTATGGCCTCCCATGGCCTAGTCGTCTAAAGTGGGGGTATTTGGCTTGTGAATATATATGGGCGCCTTCTGCACCTGGTGGGTTTACTCTGGGTACTCCATTTCTGTTTTCTCCCACAGGAAAGACCCCTGCCTGTGCACCAAGATAGTAAAAATAAGACAATTTGTCTGTGATATCACTCCAACCTCGTGGGTTTTCTCCTGGTCCTCCGGTTTCCTCCCACTGCTAATCATTGAAATAAAAAAATTAAACCTTATGTTAGTCCCAAAATGACCTAGTTTGTGTCGAGTGGATGTTAAACCCCATTTCTCTCTCTCTCTGTGATATCACCATCGGTGGAGGCTGAGTTAAACATTGATAGAAGAAGAAGAACAAGCCTCTTATCTTAATGTAATAATGTAGCCCAAAATGGAAATATCTGATTGGACGAAAAGTGGTGTCAGATGAGTATACTGTATAGCAGGTATCCGTCTGAATTTCACAGTGCAACTTGGCACTAGAACAACTCCACAGTGGCAATAATTTCTACAATTCAAAACTTCATTTGAGCCAATATCCATGAATCTATTTTGCTACTGTAGCTATATTTCTATGACACTAAAATGTCTTCACAGTGGCCAAAAAATCTACAATTCAAAACTTCATTTGAGCCAATTGTCATGAAATCTATTTTCCAGATATATATAAGCTTATAATATTTCCATTACACATGTTTTCACAGCGGCAATCCATTATACATTTCAAAACTTCATTTCAGCCAATCTTCACGAAATCTCTTAAACATATGACTATGAATTGGATTGCTCTTTATGATAAATGGGGTACTATATTTTAATTTAGCTGAACGTTAAGTGCTGCTCTAAATTTGACTTTACGAGATTTATGAGTCTTGAACTTTATTACTGTTGACTGATTGAATTTATTGGTTTTCAACTAATCAATATGATAATATAAGTTATCATATGATCAAAGTGATTGATCTTCACATATTGATTTATTGATTTACTGTATTTGACATAATAAACACTAAGGTTATAACGAAGTGTCCATTTTTACTGTAATAAGAACCTGCTCATCTGGTCATAATACATTAACCAACAGTTGCTTATCCAGATACCATACCTCTAAGGGGGGGGGGGGGGGTCTAGTAGATTAGCGCATGCACGTGAAATCACAAGGTCTGTCATTGAGTCAAGTGGCATGGTTTCGATTCCCTGCTTGAACATGACAAGGAATAGGGTGGCCTGTTCAACCTTGTGAGTTTTCTCCGGATCCTCTGGTTTCCTCCCACTGCTAAAGACCTTCAGGCAAGCAAATTATTGAAATAGAATTGAACCATATGTTAGTCCCCAAATGACCTAGTGTGTGTCAAGTAGATGTTAAACCCAATTTCTCTCTGTCCATACTTCTAATGCACTTACAAAGTTGGTAATGTACAGAAAAAATCCCTTGGCAGTTGGAATTCGAAGAAAACTGGGTTGAAACTGTCCCATCTTAATTATTCCCCAGCGTTGTGCACAGAATAACAATTTTTATATGTTTGTCTAAACATGACCAAAATAAGGCACATATCAGGCACAGTCTTAAACGCCATTTCTTTCCTTTAAACACCCAGTCTAGTTGTTCGGATAAGACCAATAATCAAGGTCTGGTGTACACGTTGACATGCATGTAAAAGAACCCTTTACAGTTGGAATTCGATGAAAGGTAGGTGGAAACACCAGACCTGACACAATTTCCCATTTTATTTTCTTTAACTGCCTGGTAGAGTGGTCTAAAGTTTGTCCTGGTTTTGAACCCCACAAGGAGTAGAGTCATTTACCCAATCTTGTGTGTTTTTTGGGGGTCATCCAGTTTCCTCCGTGTGGATGTTAAACCCTGTGTGGATGTTAAACCCCTTGTCTCCCTCTCTCGCTCGCTTTTTAATTTCCTGGGCAGTTATTTGGTATGATACGGTAATGTCAATACTCTAAATCAATTTATCAGGACGTGGCACTTTAACATTGACTTTTATTACTATTTGAATAATAAGTCACACCTTATTTTGTCTGTAGCCTCACCATACTTGACCTAACTTGATTAATTTATGGTTTTAAAGGGACTATATTCCAATACAATCATTGTCTTACATAAGTTTAAGTCTGTATATATATATTGGTAAAAAGTCATTCGCTATTTTATTTATCACAATATTTCACCTTTTGTTTTTTTTTACGTAATTTTAAGTATATAGGGAAAAAGTCATTGGTTTTCTAACGTAATTTTAATTCAATATATATAGGAGGAAAGTTATTGGTTTTCTTATTTAATTTTAAATCAGTATTTATAGAAAAAAAGTTGTTGGTTTTCAAACAGCCCAAAACAAGAGAGAGAAAGAGAAATGGGCTATAACATCCACTTGACACAAACCTGGTTATTTTGGGACTAGCATACGGTTCAATTTTATTTCCATTATTCGA